TATTCCACAGGCCCAAGCGGTTGGGAAGGCCCGGGCCGGCTCGCGTCGAGTCATTTGTTTTTCATTACGTTATGCTCCCCTAATATAAGCAGTGAGGTATGTGGACACTGCCATGGACAGGGAGAGCCAGATGCTGGGCGCATTCCTCCGAGGCTGTATAAACTTCAGCAGCTAAATATTTTAGGAACTGTTTTCTAAGGCTTGCTTAATAGTTTAAAAATATAACCTAGATTCCAGATATTAAAAAAATGCCTTGAAAGGCACGCATCTTGCTGCAATAGCTGGAGCTAACCAAACCCCTGAAGTATGCAGAAAGCTTCCATTTTGCAATATCTTCTGCTGCTTATCCTTTTTGCTATTTTTTTCTTTTTAATGCTGAGATTAAATCCAAGAAGGCTTTTAACAGCGGAGTGGCAGCGAAAGAAACTTTCAGCATATATTAGCCAGCTGATTCCTGCTTTTTCAAGATGATTCTGGGTTTATGATGAACTAACTGGGTTATTTTAGCAGTAGCAAAATTGGAAAAGGCAGCGGGAAGGGGACACCACTGTCTTCCAGCGTGTGCATCCCTTCCAGGCCTGGTATAAGGACAGCATGGGGAGCTTCCACGCACGCTTTGGACTTGGCATCCAGTGGAGATGCCCGAATCCCCTTTTCTGTGACGCAGAGCCCATCGTGACTAATTGGGATTTCATTATAAAGCATTTTGCTTGCTTTTCTGCTCACAAATCCCGGAGTTGCTTCGCGCACATGGCCGAGTGTTCGTTGCTTTGCTTTGCCTGCCAAGGTTAAGTCATTCCTGTGTCCGTCGCCGTTTGAATGCTAGTTTCTATGGACATCTCCACAAACACACATCGGGAGGGGTGATGGGTCCATGCCAAGTGTGCAGCTGTGGGGAGGATGTCGTGAGCGGTCCCGTCACCGCACTGTCCTTGGGGAAGGCCGTGCTGRGATGAAGACCCTCCAGATGCACGTGATAGTTTTGAACATCCAAATCCCAGGGGATTTGCTCCCCGAGCGGCGCGGTTGCCTGCAGAAATGCTGGGGCTGTTAATGGACCGGTTCTGCTGCCATCTTTCCTTCTCTGGAGGTCTTCAAAACCTGCCTGGATGCCACCCTGTGCCACATGCTTTAGGTGTCCCTGCTTGAGCAGGAAGGTTGGGCTACATGRTCTCTAGAGGTGTCTTCCAACCTTGAATATTCTGKGATTCTGTCATGCTCAGTGACCCCAGGGCGCCTCGTGTCTTCCAGCTGCTCCAAGGGATGGCTTTGCCGCGCCGAAAAGCTCCGGGCAAAAGCAAYGAGGAGGATGAGGAGGAAGCGAGCGGCGACTGCGACGACGAAGACGACTGCGACGGGGCCTCGGCACACGGGGAGCTGCGAGTGCGGAACCAGCTGCGGTTCTTAGCAGGTGACGGGGTCTTTGGGATGGGGGCTGCAAAGGGAAAACTCCAGGGTTTGGTTCTCCTCAGGGCAGCCCCACGAGTGGGAGGTGCCCCGGTTAAGTCCGGTCCCAGCGCCCCGCGTTGCTCTTCGAAAGACCAGACAACTGAACCTGGATAAAATCAGCTTTACRGCTTTGAAGTTTAAGAGGCCAATTTGGGCTCTTAAACGAAGCACAGATGTTTATAAGTTCCCTTCCATTGGCCTGAGATAATTAAAATGGCCTTAATGAAGTGAGACCTGAAATATGAAATGCCAGTTTCATATCAAAGATTATTGACACATTATGTAAAATACATAAAATACATATATTCAAATATCAATTAAGGGGAAGGAAAGGATTTTTAAGTCCTCCAGTCCAGWTCTGAAGAAGTATAATTCAGAGAAGGATAAAATATACGTTCTTTCATCCAAGAACTAAATATCAAAGTGCATGCTAAGGAAACGCAGGTGATCCGCGTTGTCCTGCGCAGCGAGCAGAGATACGTGTTTCATTTTCCATGATCTTTGTGTCACACCTTTATGCTATTTTAACATGTTTCTAATTTCCTCTTATATCCTGTCCCACAATATCATCACTGATCTCTGGAGCCGTGTATATAATCCTTGCTGCCTATTTTTTCTGTCTCTCTAGGCTGCTTTAATCACTGTATTGATCTCCCAGATAACCTGCCTGTCTGGCAATTTAGTCCTCTCTTGTCACTGCTGCTGATGAACATGTTACAGGAAAGAGGAGTTATCCTCCYTGTGCTGCTCTGCTGGAGGGTATTTGCTGCCGACTTTGTTGTAGGATGGTAGAATATTGACTTTAAATGGGGAAAAGACAGAGGTGGTTTGGGGCTTTGTGTACCTGGCAGGTTAAATCTTTCAGCTTGCTGAGAACGGTAGGTTTTTCCAATGGGCACCAGCTGCTTTGGAGGAGGCAGCTGAGCCATCAGGGTGGCTGGTTCTTCTCTCCTCCCTCGTTCTTTCATGCTCTGTTCTGTGTTTTGACTTGAAGCACAAAGGCAATGTTGGTCAGACAGTGACAGAATCAGAATTGGTTGGTATTGGATATAAATCACGACCCTCTGTTCAAGTCTTACTTTGGAAACAAGCCCAGGAAAAACTGCTGATGGTGTGGAAATACTTTCAGCATTTCCAGAATGATATTTCTTTTTACTTTGAAGGGGTATTTTTTTCATTTTCCCCCCCTTYGTATCATATGTACATAACACAAAATAAAAGGGAGCAGAAACCACTGGCAGTCTCCCTGCTGTTGAGGTTTGCTGGGAACAGAGGTGCAAAGGGCGGGGGGCAGCTGGCTCCGTGTTAGCTGCGGTTCCCATTTGGCGTGTAGGGAATGCTCGGGATGCAGGGAAGGAGAGGGGCAGGAGGGCTGATGGGCCGTGTGGTGGGCTGTGTTTTGTGACCAAACGTAGGAGCCTGTTTAGAGAGGGTCTGAGCCTCTCTACTCAACCTGGGGGCTGCCGTCAGGGTGCATCAATTTGTAGGGACCTTSTTCATCTGGGGAGGGTTTTCTTGGCCCTGTGATAGGGGCAGACAAGGACTGAGTTGATCTTGCAGTTAGGCCTGGCAAGCGCCTCTGYAACACGTGTCCTTGTGCTATCCAAGAATAACATGGAGGATAACCTGCGAGACGAGGTTCAGGCTGTAGCTGGGCTACACGCCACAGGTTCTTGGCCCTGCCCTGAAGTCCCACGGAGTGGGACCAAGATGTTCAATAAAGACTTSAACGAGCTGCAGGAACATTCATTGTGGCAACTGAGTCTATAGCAAAGACCTGCAGGAGGATATGGAGGATCCCAGCCTGTGGTGGATGAGCGATGCCTTGGACGGGAGCAGACGGGGGTGACAAGATGCAGGGGATGGACTTGSCTAGAAGTTGGGTGACCAAGTTGTCAGATTTTTGCTCCCTGTGGGGCCTTTGCACAAGGATCCTCATTCCCATCCCACCCACGTGCTGCTTGTTGGGACGTGGCTGTCCTGGCAGTCCAAGCTTCTCCCATTGGGATGCCAAAGGCTCTGCCACTTAATGGGAAACATGCTCCTCAGGACTGGTCTCACCACTATGTCCCCTTGGAAAGCCTCGAAAACTGGAGAATAAGGAAAAAAAAAGTACTTTTTTTTAAGTCAATTTTCAGTTCTGACTAGTTTTGATTTATCGCCTGTTATATGAAGTGTAACCTTTGTTTCCTTTTTATAATGACCCTGTAATAACTGGACAGTCAACTTAAACTTTAATGATTTAAACATACTTGTAAACTGTCAAGTCAAAAGTTTGTGAGTGACTRTAAACATATGTTGGTGAGCACTATATGCTAATAAATTCATTATTATGTTGCCCCAGTGGGAAGCACTGAGATGGCAGGGTTTTTTTTTTATGATAGGTCTTTTATTGTTTGTCACATCTGCAACACATTAAGGATTTTGAAGGCAGATAATGTTTACAATAAGRGAAGGACTGAAAGCTTTCCAGGTCGGTGAAGAGCACTTCCTGTTTTTAAATGGGATAGCCGTGGAATCTGCACCGCATCCATGGCACTCTAAAAATAGAYGGATACGTAAGTGCACGTGGAGTTATGCCACACCGGTGGCAAAGCGGGTCTGCGAAGAAATTAGGATGTTTTCCCCTAAATTGTGAGTTGGTGCAAATGCATGCCAGGATCTACACTGCAAACATATTTTCTGTGGCTGAAATCAGTTCCCAAAGCAGGCAGATGTGTCACTTAAGGTGCTGCTAATAACGCTGAGCTTTTGGCCAGGAAGCCGGAAAATAAACCTGGGATGCAGGAAATCCCACTGCCCTGAATGGCATTAAGTCCTGGGGCAAAGGATATATATTTTTTTGGGGGGTGCAGAGGGTGACATGGTGGCATCTGGCCRTGTCAGCCCCTCAGAGGGTTCACCAGGAGGAATAAAACCCTTTCAGGGGCTAGAGCATCACTTGGGAATGTCCTGAGTGATCCAGCAACCGGCATCGGGGGATGAGGGGGAAGACTTCCCCTTCCAAAATATCTGCGTTAGGCAGTTACAAAAGTTGTCCTGGGAACAGATGGATTTGGCAGAATTAAGTTGAAATAGTTTGTCCTGGGAAGGGAAGTTGGCCTTATCCCATGAGATATGTAAGGAGAGTTGTATGCAGTAAAGATATATGATGACGGCCACGCAGTGTGTGTGAAAGAGCTCTGCTGCCTGGCTCTTCCCCTTGCCTAACCTGCACTCGCTTTTGCCTTTCCCTTCTCCCCCCAGTATTTGTAAGAGTAATTGGGGGCCAGCAGTGGCCCTTCCACTAAGCCCAGCAGATTTGCCTTAAAATGCAACTTGGATGGGTGGAAAACATCCCTGTCCACGTGGKCGCTTGGGACAGGGACCTGCAGTCACTACTTTTCCTGGATCCAGCCTGCAGACTTATTACTGCGATGGAAAATATCGGGTGGGACCTGCTCRTGGTGCCTGTCTCTGCTCAGCCCTCAGCAAAGCTGCTCTGTCCTTGTCACCAGGCAAGGTGAGATGTTTCCATCCAAAGAAGTGTCCATCTTGTGTCTTGGTATTTTATTTTATGCTAAACGCTTTAAAATGTCTAATGACAATTTTTGTAGCAGCAAATTTTCTTTTCTTTCCTTCTCCTTTTTATTTATTTATTCCCCTGAAAAGGATGCTGTTGAATACTTGACCGGAGCAAGACTAGCAAAATCTTGCTGTTTTACCACGTGCTCATCCTGTCCCAAAGCAAGAAAGGGAGAAAAAAAAAAAAGAAAAAAAAAAAAAAAAGAGGCCAAATGTCAGCTAGATTAGCCTGATGGCAGAACTGGAATCATACCAACTGAAACAGTGCAATAGCTTGATTATTGCTTTTCTATTTTGAGGGTTTCTGTTTGTTGAAATTTCTCGTCTTAATGAAGATTTGGTTGGAAGTCAAGAATTCTTTGTCGCTATGTGAAATCCAAGCTAGAAGTCAGGGAGTCGTGTGTGACAGYTGGCTGAAGCTGCAGCTGAGTGGCAAGTTCATTAATTTACTTTGAAAGTCAGCAAAAATGAATCTGTTTATTGATAGACTGGGAAAATTATTGGTGGCTTTAAGACATGGGCCTGCTTATAGCAGCCTTTGATTGGCTGTTTTCAGTGCTGTGACCCTTTTGGGCCTTGTAATGTATTTTATATGTGCCTTTTTAAAGGATTCTCRTAGCTTTTATGCTGTGGGGTCCTTCAAGGAAACAATAAATCTCCAACTGAAGAACTAGAGAGTTTGTCTATGAGAATAGATATGCATTTTGGGAGAAGCCACATATATGCAAAAGCATTTAGAATCAGCAAGCATATCCACTGGGTCTATTAATCCCATGTTCTTATTCTATTTTTTAACTCTTTTTTGGTGTTATGCTTCAGATTGCGGATCCAAATCTGCCTGAGCAGTTTGTGCTTTGTATTTTTGGGAACTGACCTCCACTGCTTTGGTCCATTTTGACCCAAAGTGACCAATGATGGTTCCAGATTTTGCAAGCTGGGTTGCTCTGGAGATGGTCCTCTGCTTGGCTTGGACCCTGTGCAAGTTTACAAAAGTTTTGCAAATGAGGTGCTCTGGTTGCCTATCCAGCCTGTATGTCTTGGTGTTTATAATGGCACCAAAGCTTCACCCCTGTCTKGGCTGCGAGTGTCAGGGCAGTTTGTCTAATGCCAGCGTGTCTAAGGAGACGCTTTTCACCAGGGTAATTTGGGAACTGATATATCTTTAAGTTGTTACCGAGAGCAGCATTTTACATGACGGAACGCATCAAAACAATTCCAAGTATGCAAAAATCTGCCTACTTGCAGTAGCGATAGTTGTATTTATCTTTAAAAGCTGATGAATCTGTTTTCCTGTAGCTGAAAATGTGTGAGTTATCCCAGGGCTGGGAAACACTTCCCAGCTCAGAAACTTTTTGTGCCTTTTTTCTCCCTTTGGGAAAGACAGAGCTGTTTAAATGG